GGGAGAGGGAGGTGGAGAGGGAGGGGAGAGGGAAGGGGAGAGGGAGAGAAGACAGGCTTAGGTTGGTCAAGAAGTAATGTTGGACCCCTCTCTTTTCAAAGATTTTTTTTAAAAATTATATTTTCATTCATTTATTTAATTTTTTTAGGGAAAGATAATGAGTTTAGAGAAGTTTGGAATGTTCATTTCTTTAACGGACCACATCAGAGGCTTGTGTCGTACGCTTCATTTAGCAGATATAAATCTTCAACATCCAGAGAAGAAATTAAAAGACGGAAAAACTGTTAAATGTAGGGTACGTAGGTGTTATTGGTAATAATTGATTAATCGAAGAATTAACTCGAATTTATTAATATCTTGCGCGCTCTGATGATTATCTTCCTTTTTATTGTTTTGTTAGTATCTCGCACGCACTAAGGATTGTCTTCCTTACAATTGTTTTGTTGGTATCTTGCACACTCTTACTAACAAATCAATTGAAAAAAAGGCAGTCCTTAGTGTGCGCAAGATGCTAACAACGGTTGAAGGAAGACAATCCTATTTCGCGCATACAAAGGTTTGTCTTCCTCTTAATTGTTTAGTAAGTATCTCGCGCACTCTTGAAGATTCTCTTTTTTCATTTGTTAAGTTAGTATATCGCGCACAATGTGGATTGTCTACTTTTTAATTGTTTAGTAAATATCTCGCGAATTCTAAGGATCCTCTTTCATTCGAATATTTTTTTGGTATGTTGTGCACTCTTTGCATTTTCTTTTCTTCGATTGTTTCGTTAGTAATTCCCACACTCTAAAGATTCTCTTTCGTTCAATTGCTTTGTTACTGTATTGCCCACTCAAATTGCTTTGCGCACTCTAAGGATTATCTTTCTTTCAATTTTTTCGTTCTTATCTCGTGTGCCCTAACTACTGTCTTTTTCTCAGCTGTTGCATTAATGTCTCGTGCATTAGTGTCTCGCCACGGAGTTATCTTGCGCACTTTGAACATTCTTTTTGATTCAATAGTTTTGTTGGTATCTTACGCACTCTAAGGGTTCTGTTTTATTCGATTGTTTCGTTCGTATCTTGCGCATTTAACGGATTTTCTTTCCTTCCATTACTTCGTTAGTATGTCGTTCACTGGAGACTCATCTTCTTTTGATTATTTCGTTATTTATGTAGTCTAAGGATTCTCTTTCGATCAATTGTTTGTTCCGTTACTCGCGCATTCGGGGGTTATATATCTTACGAGTTGTGCCGTACTTTGACGAGCCCGAAGGGCTCGTCAAAATGCAAACAACGAGTGAAAATACTCAGCGATACTACAAAACAAAACGTTTAATAAGAGATTTATTATCCAAGAATTCAAATTGTTATTTCAGTGCGGGCGGATTTTGCGGAAATTTATTTACGGGGAGTGCGTGACAGAAGTGTGCGAAGCCCAACGGAATTGGCGCGGGGAATCCAGCTTACTAACTGCTTTTCTTTGTTCGCTTTATCTAATAAACTTGGATCAATATTCGCCTACCATTCCCACTCTTCGTCGTCAGAAAAATAATTTGAATTGTCCGCCATTTTTTTTCGTTACTTCAATCCAATTCGTCGCTTGCGCGATGCCAGAAAACCTGTCTAACCGGCTCTCTGGAGTAAAAATACCGCTAGATATTTGTACTTGTTTTGGGCGTTATTTGTACTCTACGAAGCACAGTTGGATAATAATATCTTTTATTCAATTGTTTCGTTAATATCTCGCGCACTCTGAGGATTGTCCACCTTTCAATTGTGTCGTTATTATCTCGCGAATTCTAATTATTCTCTTTCATTTGGTTCTTTCGTTGGTATGAAGAACAGTTCAAACCTGGAGGAATATTCTGTAAGAAAAACAAAGAAAGATTAATCTTGTGTTCAATTGAGTTAACCTCACCAAGTGTGCCCTGATATTTTGCAAGTTTTATTTGTCGATATAAATGTTCCATTTTTAATGCTTAGAAAATGTGTCCTTGATTTTCAGGTACAGCCTGCTCTCTTCGACTTGTATTGTTAATAAGCAAAATTATTTCGGTCAAAGGTTGGGTTATTTAGCCTCTTTTGTTTGAATTATTTAAAGGTTCTCTCAGTTTGGCCAGACAGCCGCCGTTTGTTCCTCACTCACAAGAAGACGTTGATTGAGTCCTCGCTTCCAATCATCACTGAGTACACTCAAGCACAGCCTGGAGTCAGCTGTCACGGCTTTGTTGTTGCCATCAAAGACTTTGGCTGCATTGTATCATTTTACAATAATATCAAGGGTTTGGTGCCACGAAGTGAACTTGGGTGAGAACAATGAGTTAAAAACAGTAAAATACTGTTAAAACGTGCATGAAAGATGAAAATGTCTTGTAAAGTGAAGATTCGTCGGGAAAAATTGGAAATAAGAGTTAATGTAGTGGCCATACTGGAAACAAATATACGTCTGAATTTCCAGCTAGGCAGCAATCTGGATTGTTTGATCTCAGAATAAAACCAAGCGAACTGCTTAAAGCGCGGAAAAACGCGGGTGAGAAAGTTGTAGTTGGTTGTAGTTGTGCTTCTGATTGCCTCAGAGGATGGCGTGAGTTTTGTGGACCAATGAACAAGTGAAGCAAAGTATAACCAAAGCAGTCCCACGTGACTTTTGATATTCATTTGGACACTGCTGATTGGCTTATTGGTTGGTGCGCTGGACCCTGGATCTAGAGGTCTAGGTTCAAGCTCCGACTCTGGGTAATTGTGTTGTGTTCTTGAGCAAGTGCCTCTCCCTTCCTTCCCAAGGGTTAAATGCCCTTTGCTGAACTTTAGAGAAACCCGACTCCCTGGTAGGTTAACTGTGATTATTTGGTGATTACTCGGGCTGGGTTGTTCAAAACTGGATTATGATAACCCAGGCTAAGTGCGAAATCTGATTTTTGATCTTAATGCTTTAAAAGTAAATTAAATAGAATTCTTTTTGTCTACAATTTGATGATTGGACGCTTTAAAAGAGTAGAGGGAGTTATCCCCAAAAGGCTTTTGAACAAAGGAATTTAAGAGACCGGGGGCCCGTTTCTCGAAAGTCCCGGTAAAATAACGGACCCGAAGCCATGCTTTAAAATAAAAATTTTAAAGAATAAGAAAGCAAGTTCGGGCACCCAAACCAGTCCTTTTTGTTTCTTTAGCTAATATTTTTGTTTCATCATTTTCAAAACGTTTTAAATCCACATCTTGAATGAAAACAGAACAGCAATACGGGCCCGTTAAGTTACCGGGACTTTCGAGAAACGGGCCCCAGGATGGAAATTGAACCTTTGGTTAGTGCTAGTAGACCTTCGAACAACTCGGCCCTGGGGTGTTGCCTGCAATGGACAAGCATCCCATTCAGGGGAATCAAACAAACCCCCAGTTACTTTATGGTAAAGAAAAGGAGGTAAGTTGCAGCAGTCATGGACCACTTGACCTTGAAGACTTAGCCTATTGTATTTAATTCTGTTTATGAACAGGATTTCTGCCGATACTGATCCTCGTAGTGCATTCTACCTTGGACAAGTTTTGTTGTGCCATGTGTTGAGTTGTGAACCAGACCAGATGAGGTTGAGGCTATCGTTGAAGGTATGTTGGCTAATAAGAAACTCATCACGAAACTCCGGTCTTGCCTTTGATAACTAGTGTCAGCGCCGAGTAGTTAATTTAGTTGTTAAATAGACTCGTGTAAGGTTGACACCCTCTTGGAGAAGATAATCAACTTTCGCTTTTACTCTCCCTACTTGGGAGTAATTAGTACATGAACAATATAAGTGGATGTTAGGAAGTTGTCAGGTGAAACCTTGTAAAAATTCTGAGGTTAATCTGCATTGCACAGTATCTGAAGGTTTCGCTCCATTACAAATTCGCCCTCTTCTGCATATAGCTATCCCGCATCATGAAAAGTTTGCCGCATCAAAAATAAGTTTCCCCCATTTTTATTAGTTCGCCCCCAAATTTGGTAAGTTTTTTTTTTAAGGTAAAACATGTCTTTTCTGACGGAACAAGGAAGCGTTTGACGCAAGTCAGAACATTTTTATATTAATTAATGTTCCTTGTATACTTTCAGAAAAGTTCCAGGCCTGGTCCTGCTTTGGAAAATGTCAACATTACAAAATCCGTAAGCGAATAACATTGTCTTCAACGTTGTAGTGCTCGAGATTTTTTCTTATTTTTTCGGTGGTTGCGTCCGTCGCTACACAGTTTTGGAGTTTTTCATAAGTAACAGGACAGTAAAGTACAGTGGCTTGTGACATCTTTGTCATTTTTCCGTGCATGATCCATTGGTTAAAAAAAAATTCTTTTCCTTTTCGATATTGTTTAGTCAGTATTACCGCATTTTACTACGGTTCAGACAACATACTTGTTTTTGTTCCGATTTTTAACGAGTTCCCAATGCTTTTGTGTGATATCTGTCTTTGTTCTGATTCTTAGCTGTTATGATAACTTATTCCTCTAACTCCCATGAGTGACCAATACAGATTTTCTCCTTAATACTTTATCAAGCAGACAAGCGATGAGAATCAAGAAAAATATGAATCGGGGGATTATTAGTTGATCCAATACCAAATTCTCCAAACTTACAATGTAATAATTATATGAAAGACAGAACTGAGAATTATTAACAAGATCTATTGTCCTAATCTGTAGAATATTCTCTTGTTTGACCCTTGTACAGTTGTTAGAAGCCGATGTAGTGAATAGTAGTGAGGAAGGACTGGATGTTGCTCTTCTTCCTAGTGGTGCACCAGCATTTCTTCCAGTTTCACATTTATCAGATCATGTTAGCAACTGTAAGGCTCTATTGTCTGTCTACAAACCCTCCACAAGATTGACCAACGTTGTTTATTATGGCATTAACAAGAGGCAGGAAATTGTATCCTAACTCATAAAACTTTAAAATGTACCTTAACATTTCACATGAAACAGGTTTGCTTGTTGTAAGTTTAGTACGTTTAAGGAGAAAAATGCCCCCAAAAACCTTTTAATTTTGATCCACGCCATGTTAGAGTATAGTGAAATCCCAATACTGATTATTAAGATTCCAAAGATAAAGTTAACCCTTCAAACCCCAGAAATGACCAAGTCCAGGAGCCAAGTGATAGCGAAACATATGAACTAGAGGATCATCATTTGATGCAACACCAAATTCTCAGACAGAAAACACAGTATGGAGACTTTTCATTGAGGTATTGGGAGTGAAAGAGTCAACTTTTCGAACTTTTGACGCTGCCCTTTACAATCTCAGCCTGGTCGCACACTAGTGACCTAAAATAATCTCGCACCTTTTTTTTAATCTCCTGGTGATAAGGAGTTGCGCAAAAAGGAGTTCTTGAGTTTAAGAGCGCGATAACCATTGTAGTGGTTGACCCGCATTACTGTTCCTTAGATTTAAAACGTAATACATTTGCTTGCAGCTATTACACTGCGTTATGTGAATCTCTCAACTCTAGTAGATGTGATGTTGAACCGCCTCCCGGTTAGCTCAGTGGATAGAGCGCTGGACTGTTGTGCGGGAGGTCGAGGGTTCGAGCCCCGGCCGGACCAACACTCAAGGTCTTAAAAAAATTTGGAGAATATGCTACCTTTCTATAACACAAGAAATGGTTAGATATTCTAGTCTTCTTGGATAGGGACGAATAAATGGAGGTCCTGTCTCCTGCAGGGTTAGGGGTAGGAGACGTTAATTTCCCACACACGAGATTACTGTGTGATAGATGTCCTCCCTCGGGGTGGGATGGGTGGGTTTCTAAATACACGACCCCACCAGCTCTGCTGAATACTCCATCCTGTATAAATAAAGAAATCAGGCAGTCAATCAGTCATGTAATAATCTAAATCTACTGTGTATGATGATACTTGGTGCATGTTATCAATTCTAAGTGCGCCTAAGTCAATTTTATGATTACTTTCCTTAACCGCACGTTAACGAAGAATGTTTCTTTGAAACCATCTCTTGTGAAAGCTGCATCAGAGGACAGACTTCTTACCAGCTTTAAGGACGTCGAGGTAAGTCCATTGTTTCTACAGTATATCAACTCCAACTAGGAAGGGATTAAGTAGAAAATGACGTGGTTGTGAAAACGGTTATTTGGTATTATTTACTAATGTCATTGTTTTAATCTTAGGTGGGGATGGTCTTACCTGGTTTTGTCAAAAAAGTGATGAGTTATGGAGTGTTCGTTGAGTTTTCCAGGGGAATTTTTGGGCTTGCTCCGAACTCGGTAAGTATCCTTAAATTTCTTCGAGACACAAGAATCGTCTCTCATTGCTGAGAGGCACTACTCATAAGGAACGACAAGGCGTAAGCAGGAATTGAGTTCTTACACCAACCACATAACAAGCCTACTTTTCATTAATAAAAAGCTCTCTTGAAAGCGCAGCAGAGACTGAGGACGCTTAACGAGAGATCAAATATTTTAGCGTGTTTGTAAAGTAAACTGTTGTGTCGAAGCAAAACCGTTGTTTTATTTTCTCTCGCCCGATTCACCGACGTTTATGCGTTTTAAATTGAAAATTACCACATAGCCATCCCCTC